CGGGCCCACCCAAAAATTAATATATGTGGTGATATAGCGAAATACGTGTTTGTGACGTTTTAGCCAATTAAGACCACTGCAGTGGTGTATCATAAGTGTAATGGATGCAATATTTTGACCAGTTTCTACCATCATCGCGTTTTTTTCTCGCCACTGATGCTACTAATAACTCTTCCCTCCATTTTGGACCTTACGCATCACTTATTCCCTTATAAATGTTCAAACACAATCTTCAAATTTCATGTAAATTTTCAAAATGAAAAAAGAAAAAGTAGGATAATAATGCTCGAAATAAGTCAAAACGAAAATCTAAACTAATACCAAATCTTGTCAGTTGATTGCCATTTTGGAAAACTAACTGTTGCGTTGGCGTGGGCTTCAGAGAAAACATAGCTTGCTCAGGCAATAGATACTGAAATCGACCTTTTTGGCGAATGAAACCGCGAACAAATTAATATTACTTACTTTCAGTACGATAACATGATTGGCAGAATTAGCTTTAATTAGCTTTTTTATGCTTTTTACATTAAAAAATAAAATTCTGCGAATAGAAATTATTGTTTGTTTTGCTGAAATTCGAGAAATTCGTTTGTTGGTGAGTGATTCGTAAGGAAGTAAGCGACTTCTTGGGCGACTTCCGAACAGATAGTGCACATATATCGAACAGGCAACGAATGCTAACTAGAACTACATAGCGCAGAATTACAAAAGGACTAGTACATCTGCTTATGGCGCATGGGAGCACTCCAATAACATCACCGGCATGGGATTCCCATAACGGCTGTTGGTTGATTCTGGTGTTTTTGTTATTTTCGGCCAAAACTTTTTTTTTCAGGTGGAATACTGTTATCCGGCCTTAACCGGTAGTGCTGGAGAGTTGCCAGCCCCGTGGCAGCATTTACCGTCGCTTGCACTACCCGATGGCGCCCATAATGTCGACCATGGTTTGAACTATCCTTCAGAAATTGCCTGTTTTGCCACATTCTTTTCAATTGTAGGACAAAAGCGCCTCGGATTGTTGAGTGTGTTAATAATTCACGTGATTATTCTTCCATTTTCAGACGTTATATATTTTTTGTTACCCTCGTTGGATAATCCGAACCGATCAGTTTTTGGTATTTCCTGTTATCGACAAATTCTTGCCAAGGTTATAATTTCCACCACTTTTTTTGTGTGGCTTCTTCGGTTCGATCAGTTTTCATTCCGTCGCTGCACACGGTCTATACACTGAATACAAAAAAGCAAAAAAAATTAGATAACTAATGAAACATACCAAGATTATTGGTGCGGTCATTCGTTTTTACGCGATTTCATACAACAATAAGTTCTTTTACAGTAAAAGTGTTCACTGCTTCACTGATTTTTTATCTGCACTCATTTTGAAGACGTTTTTCTTCAAACATTAAGATATTTTTTATTAATTGAACTTTTTTCTGCGGTAATCGTCGGCGCTACTTCGGCAGTATTGTACTGTGACCTCGCGAAATTTAGTTTTTTAGCTCGTCTGATTACCGCGATAAGAAGATTTGCAAATAAATCTTTCACACATCCACAGGGGTAACATAACTGCACGTGAAGACCCATCATGTAACTATCTGACCGCACAGGAACATCAAACATTTACGTAAAAAAGTACAATTTTCTGCTCAGTCTCGTTCCAAAGCTGGCTTAGTGCCGACAATGTTTTTAATGTATTCGTATACAAGACATATGCCAGGTTCCATTTTCGCAGAACAGAACTGCACTTACATAAGGGCTCAGGACCGTGTTTGAGCAAGTGCACGCGAAAACAGCATTCACGTTTACCCTCACATACGAAGACGTGAAATTTGCCAGAGCGTCTAGAATGTTGAATTTTTTGGAGCAAGGGTTGAGAGTCACTCTAATAATTTCCGACATTCATGGTGGCCAGTCTCAATTCTTATAGCTAGAAGCATTTGCCAGGAAAAACAGTGCTGTTAGCAGCAAAAACCCGCGGGGGAGCTGTGCAAAAAACACATTTTCGCATCGGCAGTAGGTGCACTGACTAATGATTCTTTTTAGACAGTCTTTTCCAACTCATTTGTTGAAGAGTTTTGAAATCTTTAAATGCAAATGAGTGATGGTCCTTAATTTGACGACTGATCTTTCAAATTTTAAGGATCTCTTGAATAAATCAACAGATGTCACTCGAAGTACGGTCCAGAAAAGTGTTTGTGTCCTGTCGCGAATACCTCTCTTTGGAGTTCTAACTGCTAAACTTCAGCTTATCACAGAAGTTTATTTTAACGAAAGAGATTTTGCGAAGGTATGTTATTTTGCTTTGTTGATAAGTCGTTAAGAATGCAGGACGAACTGAGTGCGGTTGATCTCTGCAGCAGTGAAATGCTATAAGAGAAGCGAAGAAACATGAAAGCGACGAAATTCAAAACTTTGAGCTTTCTTTTCTCTGTAGGCGCATTAGACCAGGAATGAAGGCGAATCACGAAAAGTACAGTCAATGGCTGGGGGTGGATTAAAAAAAGCAGAACCGTAGGATGTACAGAAGAGAACTGTTGCAGTACCACTTCGAAATGCTGGCGCCAAAGAATTAAAATTTATATCAGATGGCGGGTCGGATAGGCATGGATAAAATCTGTGGAGCATTTTTGCACAAGTCTGACATTGCGGGCTGACATCCCAGCACTTTCAACTCGTGTATCTTGATTCACACAAGTTTACACGAGTCTCTTGTACACAAGTTTTTTTTTGGTTTAAGAAAAAGTATTTTTAATGATTTTGAGGTTGAAGTTTTGTCACAAATGTATGAGAATCTTTGTGAAATGTTTCCAACAACTGAGGAAATCGACGAAAG